GGCAACTCCTCGGAGGCATCTTTACGGCTAGGGGTCTGAAAAGTTTCGGTTTACACAACCGTGAGACGAATCTCAATGAGTTCAACCCCTAAACCTAGGCTAGGCTAGCATGCAATCTCCTGACCGGAAATAAATATTTAAATCACAATACAACGACAATCAAATAATTCTCTGACCCTACAGGTTAGGCAGTTCAATATATAATAATCACGACACGTACGTGGCACACATTATCACACGTACACCAATCACATGTTCATGCACCGAGTCTCACACACTCGCATGCCAGTCCATGCATGTTCATGCATGCAAATGTCGTCGACATGTCACGTATATTTCCCGGCCCACTGGCCCACACTGGCACACTGGCAATCGCCCAATTTATTATTTATTACGACTCGAGTCAATAACATTCACGGCCCAGTGCGTCTAGCCTGCTTCAAAGTGCATGAGGCGCAGCAACCGATTTGGCCCAGTGTCTCTCGTCTGCTTCAAAGTGCATGAGACGCGACACTGATCTCCTTACGAACCAAAGCCTGCTTCAAAGTGCATGAGGATAGTCGTCTTCCGGACGTACCGGGCATCGTCCTGCTTCAAAGTGCATGAGGACGGTATCGACCCGAAGGTCATGACCCAAAGGTCCTTAGATGATCACACAACCAATTATTATCTGAACCCAGCGTAAAATGCTTCAGGGTATTTTAGGTGATCACATGCTCATGGCAGGCACGCATTCTCGCACAATTTCATCACATGCCTCACTCTTGGCATACACAATGCGTGTCCATGTTATGCAATGCAATGCACCATGAGCGCCAATATAATTCAAACACTCAATATCACAACACGTGCTCAATTGACCCAATTAATACCGTGCGGCCTAACGTGCGAATCACAAATCAACAATTAATTTCAAACCAATCATTGGCCAATCGCACTGCACATAATTCAACCACACGACATGTGACATGGCAGTACGAAGTCAATCACAATTAAGCACAAATTACGTACAACCAGTCAACCCGGACATACCCGGTAAATTTCCAATGGGCTCCTAAATTGGTCATTTGATCCAATTAATCTCCCCAAATAATTCTCATTAATTCACTAAATTTTCCCAATAATAATTTCTACCAATCAGTCATCATCCCAGTCTGAAATATACACTGATATTACCTAAGCCAGTCCAAAAATGCACCGATAATACCTAAACCAGTCCAGAAAAATGCACTATCAGTCCTAATCCGGGTTTAGGAATTTTACTCACCTAATCCAAGGTCACGACAACGGGGAACGGCGGCCGATCACTGGTGAACACTAAAACCGGCAGCGAAATTCCCGGCGACGGCGTACGGACGGCGTGAACAGTGACCGTACGGACGCGGTGAACAGTAACCGCTGTACGGGACACGCTGGGAATGGTGGCCGGCGAGGTGCCGGTGGCCGACGCGACGGCCGTACGGACGGCGACCGTACGCGCTACAGTACCGTCCGTACGGACACTGTACGGGGCGGGTACGGTCGGCGTCGTACAGTGTGGCTGGATGGCTGGGTGGCGACGGAACAGCGATCGGAGCTCCGGCGAGGCTCCGACGCGGCGGCGGTGCTAACCCAGGAGAGAAAAAGAGAGAAAAAGAGAGGGAAAAAGAGAGAGAAATGGGTCGGACAGGGACAAGGCCGAGGCTGGGGGCTGTGGTGGTCGACGGCGGGGCACGGCGGCCGGCGGCGGCGCTCCGGCGGCCGGCGGCGAGCTCCGGCGAGGCAAACCGAGAGAGAGAGAAAATGAGAGAAAGAGAGGATGATCTGCTGGTGGGGGTGGTCTGGCCGTGAGGGAGGGTGAGGAGAGAGAGAAAGCAGTCCAAGTTGGTCAAATATATCAGCCCACAAGTGCCACGTGTCGCCGATCCGCGAAAAATGACCAAAACGCCCATAATCTAACGGTTCTAAAGAGATAGGCTTAAATAATTGAGGGGCAATTAGGTCTTTGGTGCCAATAATGCAGCTGATAACCTCTGGTAATTATCCCAAAAATATCCCAAAAATTCGGACCCGAAAATAGCCCAGGGGCAAAATTGTCATTTTTCCGGTCCCGGGGCGAAATTTCAATTTTCGCACATACGAGTTCCATATGTGCGTGGCCAACATAATATGATGTCGGATTCGCGAAATTCACTTTCTAAGCCCTCGAAAATCGACTGCGAAGTTTCGGGAATAAAATAATATTATTTTCTCAATTTTTGTCGAAATTCCAATTTTTGGCCATAACGACTCCTGGTATGCGTGGCCACCCAAAAATGGTGTCGGCCACGAAAAATAACCTCAGACGGCCTCAGAATCAACGCTGGCGTCCCGAGGGGCAAAATCGTAATTTTTCACCCCCGGACCGAAATTCCAATTTTTAACTGTACTAACTCAAAATATGCATGGCCAGCATAATATGACGTCAGATTCCAAAAAATAATCTCTTAAGCCATCGAAAATCGACATCGAAATCCGGGCCCAATTTCGTTATCAAAACTCGCTCGATTTCCAATTTCAGGGTCTCTCACTAACGGGCGGCTGTCTAGAGGTTACGCGTACCGACCTAGGGTTATCCGAGTCATGACGGTCCTGATCATTGAGAGAATGAGAAATTATCACTAGTCCTAGAGGTCACGATTGTCCGGTTTAAGTTCAGGACTGGTTGGCCACGTGCACTCTCGGTCATGCAGAATCACCTGCGAATCCGATTGTACATCGTTAGCCTTGGCCAAACCAAATCCGTTACCTTTCCTAAGATCGATCCACATTAGTTCATAATATTCTCTCATTATTTCTCGTGATCGGTGTCCGCTTCGCGATTGGATCCTTGGTCCACGTACCGCTTTCTAATTAGCCATACCCTATTGGTTAGTATCCCGAGAGTGATCAGCTCTGGGTGAGACTTACTAAAATGAAATGCGAAATATTGACAATTTTATTGATCCCGGAATTACATCGAAATTCGGGCTGTTACAGTTTGGGCCGGTTCCCGGTTCCTGGTGTGGAACTGCCCACCCGCTCACCCGGACCGGACCGGTAATATAATAATAATATATTTTATTTTTTTTAATTTTTAATTAAAAAAATCTGACCAAAAAAAATTTTTAAAAAAAGAAGAAATTTTGTTATCATGTCTGAAGCTCTTGTGTAGTTGGAATACCTTGGTCATTTTTCCCAATAATTAATGGGTACCCACTTGATTTATGGATGATGTGGTTAATATAATCGATCATAGTGTAGGAATTGTATGAAAAGTTATGTTCTTTTCCTTTTGTTCTGTTGATCCGATGTTGGTCCACAGATTTTTTTTTTTTTATTTGTCTAGGAAAACTTGTTGAGACCGGTTCCATGGACCCGCCCAAGAACCGGACCGGACCGGCGGTCCGGTTCTCGGGCGGGTTCATGGAACCGACGGGCGGTTCTCGGTTCCAATTTTTGGAACCGGTCCTGTAGCGGGTGGTCCACGGTTCCGGGGTGGGAACCGCCCACCCGGACCATGCACACCCCTACTATGTTATATCATCGGGCATTTTATGGGCTAGCGAGTAACTAATGAAACATGTGATTTTATATCTTAGACTAATTCTAGAAGAGTGCACAAGAACGGTGATTTGAACTTAGATACGAAAAATAAAACTAGACTTTTACTACATTTGGGCAGCTTATAATAAAATAAAAGCTTTTGATTTTTCACGATGCATGCCCTTTTCAAATCATGAGTGACCAGCTTGAACTAGCTCGAAGAAATTAAAGCAATGATTGCCTGACTTTGGCCCCCACTAGAAATATAGGGAATGCTAGGCATTTAATAGTACAACGTGCGTGATCCCAAGTCTCAGGAAACATAATGTGGTCACAGGGATAATATCTTAGCAAAAATTCTGTGATTAATTGTCAATTGGGAAAGTTGGTGCCTAAGTTCCTTCTTTAGTCAAATTCAATCATTTTTTTTTGGTAACCACAAATTCAATCATATTTATTCACCAGCAAAAATGAAAATTTTAAGATTTTGAGATCAATAACTCCAATTGGACCCGGCCAATCCTAACGAACACTGAGTATCATGTTGATGTTGTCCCACATTGATTGTGAAAGGAGCTAGTGATCGGTTTATAAGTATGAGAGAAAGCCTCACCCTTTGAGCTAGCTTTTGCAGTGAGAAGAGGTCAAAGGCCACCCAACATTGCAAATTCACGTGTTGTTGCAAGTTCGATTTAGGCCTGATGTATGAGGAGAAGATTGTTGAGGTTATCTCACATCTCTTGTGGAAGGAGCTACATTATTAGAGACATCATTTGATTGCGTGAGAAACGAAGGGATTGTTTTACGAATTGCGATACCTTTAAACTTCCTTCAAATTCTGACCAAAAAAAAAAAAAAAAACTTCCTTCAAATCTCTCTCTCTCTCTCCATGGTCACTGAGAATGAGAAGGCCATGGGGGACAAGCTTGAGATCCGGGGCTCGAATTGAGCACGAGCCTTTTCTGTCCACTAGAGGGCCTACTCGAATTGAGCACGAACCTTTTCTGTCCACTAAATGCTTCGTTACGACACTGCAGCAAATTCGATTGTGTATACACTTTTCTTTTTGCACCTCAAACTATATGGGATAGTGGCAATGATTCACAGTTTAGGATAATATAATATTTTTAGTTCCGACCTTTTCAAATATGTAGATATCATCACTAAATTTTGTCTAATCGAATCAATTGGGTACCTTGAATTTTCAAAATTGTTAGCTTTGATGGTTTCTATATAATGACATTAGATGTTATGCTTTTCTTTTTTATGATGTAGTGTCGACTCAACCGTTCATGAATTAATGTGATAGCGCGAATCGTTAACTCTATTTGAATAAATATTCTCGTCAAATATTCTTTTGTGTCCATATCAATTGCTATCGTTCATCTAAACAATGTAGAGATCACGTTAAACAAATTTTAAAAGAGAAGGTAGACTTAATTCGAACAAAAACTAAGTTCATAAAAATATGGTGGAGAAATTCAAGGACAATTGAGGTCCCATTACGCTCTTATTTATTTATTTTGAGGGTGCAACAAATGCCTACATGAAAGTTAGGTGACCCAACAAGTCACTCTTCACTGCAACTACTTCTCTTTATTAATTCTTTGTCAAATCAGAGTACCCTTCATACATCTTCCAAATCAAGAAACGAAGCCGGCTTCTTCAGCTCCACATGTAGCGACGGTTGCTGATCACGCATCACCTCAGTGTCAACCTTGACTACTTGATCATCAGAAGTGATATCAGAAGGAGATGAAGACATGACATTATCATTGTCAAACCCACCAAATATGTCATAATTATAATTTTCTTGCACTGTTCTATTCCCGGGAAATAGCTGTGAGTCCGACCGGGTAACTGCCGTTATGAAATTCTCATCGATGTCGATGCTCATAAAAAAGCTCAGATGATCCTCATCGCCTTCGGCTTGGCCCAGAGGTGAAGAAAACATGGCTTGATTGTCAATGCTGCAGCTGTTACTGATCAAACCTATGCTTTCCTCCACCAAACAGTGCTTTTCTTCTTGGGGTAGAATAGGAATTCTGCAGACATCGGCCCCTGATGGCTGGTCTGCGTCGACTTGATCGGAATTATTCATCGACCCGTGATTTTGGTTGCGCAAAAATTTCTCTTCGCAGTTCGATTCTCTCGCACAAGTCGGCAGTGAGGAAGATCTGCACTTCTTGGCGAGGGTGGTGTTCCAGTAATTCTTTATTTCATTGTCGGTTCGTCCTGGAAGCCTCCCCGCAATGAATGCCCACCTGCGTGCATGAAAATTACGTGGAACCAAAATAATCATGACCTGATCTTTTGATTATATCTGGAATATGTGAAGAGTTTAGAAGATGGTTAGTTGAGACTTCTTGACAGTGACGAGGGCAACAATGAATGAGGAGGACGAGTTTTCCCCCAGCCACTAAGCGGTTTAATTCAAGGGACCACATGAACGGAGCATGCACAAAAACGTTGAAGTAATCCTACACACATATCGTACAATTCTTTGAGCGAGAAGGGTTGACAGTAATGTTAGATCGGTCCGGACATTTAGAACCACCGAGTGCAGCTAAATGGCGGAGCGCTATAAATATGTGGATTCTGATATGATAGAGAGAGTCAGCAAATGAAGCACTGCACAAAGCAGTTCAATCTGAATCTCTAAGCTTGGATGAACAGTTCAATTTGTTCACAAGAACCTCAAGATGATAGTCCATTGCACTGCATCTTACACCATACGATCCACATAAAGAACTGCAATATAAACCTTGATGTCGTGATTCATTGTGTCCGCCGCATCAAATGATTAATAGTGGAGTAGGGGGTTTACGTACCTGTTGCCGAGAAGGCGGTGGAGCCGGATGATGAGATCTTCTTCGTCCTCGGTGATGTCGCCCCGTTTGATGCCGGGCCTCAAGTAGTTCAACCATCTAAGCCTGCAACTCTTGGCACATCTATTCAAACCTTCCAAGCAAAATCCCAAGATTCAAAATCTTAAAAAGATTTGGATATAGATATACATCAAATTAAAGAAGTGCGGTACCAGCATGCTGAGCAACACTTCTCCACTTGCCTTCACCATGAATCTTGACATAGTTGATGAGGATTTCGTCTTCTTCAGCAGACCAAGCTCCCTTATTCATCCCTTGCTTTTCACAACATGGTCTCCTCACCATTCCCCCCCCCTTCTCTCTCTCTCTCTCTCTCTCTCTCCACAAAACTTTTTATCCCTCAAAAGTTTGTAATGCTGGTGTGGAACTTCTTGGTGGTACGTCGCTTCTAAATAGTTGGCATTTTTGAAGCTGGGGTTGATTGTAATCAGAAGCATTAAATGGCCATGGCCGGAGCAGACATATGAGCAATAACGTGTAGGGAGAGAGAGAGATGTTGTTTGGTTTCGCGGGGGTCCAATACGGGGGAATGGTAAATTGGGTCTTTTGGAACACGTGGATTGGAAAATAACCAGAGAAATATTCATTACTCAAGATAATTTGAGGTCGGAATAATTATAAAAAATCCAAAACATATTGTACGGATACCAATTAAGATCTAAACTTTTCAATTTTTTAACAATTTAGTTCTAAAACTTTAACGATTTGCCAATATAATCATTCCGGCCAATTTTAATCGAAAATAGTTGACGTGACGATCTAGTTAGTGCCGACCGTCTTACGCGGCATGGCCAGTGCTAACGTGGCTGGCCATCACCCAAGCCCGGCAGTTGCAACGGACAGAAATAGGGAAGAAAGAAAAGGAAGAAAAAAGGAAAAACATTTCATAAAACTATAAAGATTGTCCATGCCGTTTGAATGGTCGTGCTATTGTCGCGTGAAAAATTCTGGAGATCCATTTTGATTGGACGGCCGCACTACTAATCAAAGAACTTGACAAGAAGGAGTCAGAAGAGGCATTCAATTGTTTGATGCAAGTTTGGCTTTTTTGGGGAGGCTAAAAGACAAGAGAGTTCATACCACCAAAATGAAAGGAATAAAAGAAAGGAACTGCATTTGCCGACTAACTTGTGGATTGCCAGAAAGGGGATGGATTGGTGGTCCAAACAAACCGAAGGTCGACGTAAGACTTATATGCATGTGGCAATCTAATGGCTCTGACCAACCATTCTTGTTTATCAGACACGGCAAACCTTTATTCGGCATTGAGCATACCTTGTCCCGTGCAGACACGAACCCTGTTCATACTTTCTCCGCCATTTTGGAGCCCTCCTCTTCACTCGCGATCTCTGTCAGTTCTAACTCGTTGGTCCGAGGTCCGATTCGCTGTACATGGTGACAGAACGAAGCCTTTCTCAGAGCGCGTCTTGCCTCGCAACAGAAAACGGGCGAAACTGCACATTGTAAGTCCAAGAGCTTTGTCTCTGAGGCAAAGGCTTCTTGGGTACGTTGGCAAACCTCTCTCTGTGATTTTGGGGGTTTTTTCCGTTCACTTTTTTTTTTTTCTTTTATTTGAAGGTCGAAGTTGACATAGGACAGTTTGGTTCACCATATTTTCTTAGTGTCTAAAAACGCATACCAAAATGCCTGTTGGACATTTATATTTACATGCTCCATATTATCTTTTGGTTACTAAATACCATATGTGACGAGTATCCGCAAAAAGTGGAGCAGAATGATAAGCTTCCCTCAGCATACCATTGCTCTCCTTTTCGGCTATCACATCATCAACAACCGACGCGACCCATCTATTAAATCGCCAAGCCTGAAGCACCTGTCTTAACTTGTTCCGTCATAGCCACAGCAATCTGCATAACTGATATGATATAGAAATACAAATTGGGGACCTTCGCCGCAATTTGCTCAAAATGAACAGAGCTCAAACGTCCAAAACCTATTATTCTGAAGTTGAACTAGGAAAGAAATATGCTCAAGCCGAGAGACCGCTTCGCTTGGGGACTGATCTAAATGTTGTGGCGTAGGCACGGTCAAACTCAAAATTGTATGGCTGCTGATCAACTAAGAACATGCAACGAATGAAGGGTAAGGATGGATATGGAGCTGCTATGCTAGCACCGAAATCAATCTTAACAAATAGACAACATGCTCGAAAGGCCATCATCCGAATCAGTCCATAAGCGAAGTTAGAACCAAGAACTACATGGGTAAAAAGAATGACGTAGCAAGCTAATTTAGTCGGTGGCTTCGCTCCCCGACAGCAACTAGACTTATATGGCAAAGGCTAACATTTTAAAGCGTCACTAAAAAATGTGCTGATGTTACGAAGGATGGAAAGGAGTCGCCACCATGAAAATGGCAGACTGAAGTAAAAAGGAAGTGCAGTAGCTAAGGGAAGGATTTGATAAAGGAGGAGGAGGACTTCAAGAAAACTTGTACCTCCAACATCCCAGGATTTAACATCACAATACCAAGGACACGGCGTACGAATGCCCTGCATACTAGCCCGTTGACAGTTCCGTCTCTCCATTAATCCAAGGCAATATGGGCATACATAACCTGCCAGACGAACAGTCGAAGCATTCAACCTCGAGAGTGCCTCTTGGCAAATTGACTTCTCCCTCCAGTTGTTTAGTTTTAAATAACAAAGTTCGAAAGGTTGACCTATTCGGATCTACGCTTATTTTCAACTCCCCGAAGCATTTCGTCGCTTACTACGCCCGTCCCCATCTCTGGGTGCCTAGCAAAAGCCAAGTTTTGATCATGGAAAGATGAAAAGCACGAGCCAGAAGTTAGGGCAATGCAGATCATGGATCACTTTTCTTCCCTTCTTTGGGTTAAGGTGAAATAAACCTTTTGGTGGTTTGAGTCGTATGGTTAGTTGCTTTGCCAAAAGGAAAAAAAAAATTTGTTAGTCAATGGAAGTGGCCGTCCTATATCATTACATATTCTGAGCCTGTAAAATGCAGCAACCTCGCTTGCAGTAGGTATTTGACAAACGGTATTTTTTTTTATCGTGTCCTATTGTTTTTATTCAAATCTCAATGGTGGCCTTCAAATTTTTTTTTGTTCATTTTAATGTAGCTACTCTAAGGTTAAATATTCTAAAATAGTTAGCTAATGTGACCATAATTTAAAGAGATAATGACACAAAAAGTTCCTGAACTTTGGCTCAATGTGCAATTTGGTCCATGACATTTTAATTTATTCAATGTAGTTCCTGAACTTTAGCTTAATGTTCAATGTGGTCCATGAACTTTTAATTTATTCAATGTGATCCTTGGACATTTGGTATATGTTCAATTTAGTCCATGAACTATATGAAATGTTCAATGTAGTTCTTCCATTAATTCAAGTTCATAGACTACATTGAACATTTTCATATAGTTCAAGAACTAAATTGAACATGTACCAAAAGTTCAGGGACCATATTGAACATTAAGCTAAAGTTTAGGGATTACATTGAACAAATTAAAAGTTCAGGAATCATTTTGCATATTGGGCCAAAGCTCAAGGACTGTTTGTGTCATTTTCCCTAATTTTTATTAACTTGACGTTAGTTTGTCATGTTGGAGTTCACGTGGGTTACATGAGGCTTCTACCTTCTGCGTGATGATCTCTTTCCTTCATTATTTTGGGCCAAAAAGAAGCAGAAATGAGGGGGAAAAAAGATATGTTAACTTAGGAAAACGATATGACAATCCACATCATTACTTTAGTCAAAAAAATGCTGACGTGGCAATTCACTTAACAGAAGGATTACATTGAGCAGATTTTGAAAGGTCAGAGATTATATTAGAAAAAAAAAATTCCGCAACTACATTAAATATTGAAGAAAAGTTCAGGGAATATCCATGTCATTACCCTTTTCATTATGATGTGCATAGCCAATACAGTGCGAATATTTTCCATGTTATTAAGACTAAATTAAACTTTTTAAAGGTTGGACTATTTCCACGGCCTATTTAGGTTAACCACATACTTTGAAGTGAACTGACCAAAATGGGGCATGTACTTTACAACTCTAGTTAAGTTTGAACATCACCTTTTAAGTAAACTGACCATACTTTTGATTGGTGGGTTACAAATTATGAACATCACCCATGTTTTACATGTTATGAACATTGACCAAGGTTGTAGAAACGGGGGACAATATTATATTGGTGGGCATTTTAGGGGCTAGTGACATATGATGGAACACGTGATTCTATTTAGAGTAATTCTAAAAGAGTGTACAAGAACGGTGATTCGAACTTAGCTAGGTTTAGAGCATACAAACAATAAACCTAGGTTTTGAGTATATTTGGGCAGCTCACAATAAAATGAAAGCTTTTCATTTTTCACAACACAATCTATTCGAAAAACCTTTTTCACATCATCAATGACCAGCTTGAATTAGTCCGAAGCAATTAAAGGAATAATTGCCTGACTTTGGCCGCCAAAGTAGCATTTAAGACAACGTGCGTGATACTGAATCTCAGTTAATATAACGTGGTCACAGGCATAGTATTTTAGCTCAAATTTGCGATTAATTGTCCAATTGGGAAAGTTGGTGGAAAAGTTCGTTCTTTAGTCAAATTCATTTATTTCACATCGCCGACAAAAAAGAAATTTAAGAAAAATTAAAATCAATGAATAAACTCCAATTGGACCCAGCCAATTCATGGGAAATTCTGAAAATCATTCAAAAAGATCATGGGGAACCATCCCGTTGAATTGGAAAAAAGGGGACTCGTAGAATAAGTTTGAAATCTTGTCAATGTCAAAAGATTGACAAAATGCGCAAATCGAGGGGTCGTCGACGCTGTAACATAATAAAAGTTCAAGAAATGATTCGTCTAATGCAGTAAAGTTGAAGGTGATCCACTGTTGAAGTTTGTAAATGTGAAATATGTACATTGAGTTTGAGACGAATTAGGAAATTAGCACATGGCGGATTTTCTCTGTTCCGAGTATTTTTGGTTTTCTATACATTCAAGTGCTTTAGATTTCTTAGGCTGCACATGACAACGATTCTATACCCAAGAACAGATTCTGCTCAGAAATGATTCTTTTTTATTCTGTGCCCGAAATTGATTCTGAGCATTTTAAGGCGTTTGTTAACGGCCCAAAATTCCATCCCTGGAATAGAAAAAGAACAGAAATGCGTTTGGTAACACCACAAAATTTCTTTTTATTAATAATATTTTTAAATATTTTAATATTTCTTTCTTTTTTTTCTTTTCTTTTTTTCTTTTCCTCCTTCTTGGCCATGGCCTGCTCGCCGGCCATGACCGGTAAAATATTTTTTTTATTAATAATATTTTTATTAAAAATATACATTTTTATTTTTTTTGGCCATGGCCGGTAAAATATTTTTTTTATTAATAATATTTTTTATTAAAATATTTTTATTAAAAATATACATTTTTATTTTTTTGGGCCATGGCCTGGTCGCCGGCCATGGCCAGTAAAATATATTTTTTTATTAATAATATTTTTTATTAAAAATATATATTTTTATTTTTTTTGCCATGGCTTGGTCGCCGGCCATGGCTGGTAAAATATTTTTTTTATTAAAATATTTTTATTAAAAATATATTTTTTTCTTTTTTTTGGCCATGGCCTGATCGCCGGCCATGGCCTGTAAAATATTTTTTTATTAAAATATTTTTATTAAAAATATACATTTTTTTTTTACCATGGCCTGGTCGCTGGTCATGGCCGGTAAATTTTTTTTTTTATGAAAATATTTTTATTAAAAATATAATTTTTTTCTTTTTTTGCCATGGCTTGGTCACCGGTCATGGTAGGTAAAATATTTTTTTTATTAATAATATTTTTTATTAAAAATATATTTTTTTCTTTTTTTTTGCCATGGCCTGGTTGCCGGCCATGGTCGGTAAAATATTTTTTATTAAAATATTTTATTCTCGTCAGATCCGGCAAGGGCAGTCCTCGGGCCGGACAGTAGAAGCTACATTAAAAACCAAAAAAAGGAAGAAGAAAAAAAAATTGATTTTCAAAATTATTCCCAGAATCAAGAAGCTACTTTTTTTTTATTCTTGAAAACTGATTCTGGGAACAATTTTTGACAAAATTGTGCCCAGAATAAAAAAATTAAACAAACGCATTTCTGTTTCCAAACTGATTCTGGGAACAAAAGAACAGAATCAAACACTGTTTGGCAAATTATCATGCGCAGCCTTAGCCGATGTTAGCCGGCCTTAACAGAGAGATTAGCATGTTCGCCATTAGAGAGAGATTTGGATGAGTTCTCCATGAGATTTTATCTTGGTTTCGCCGGAGTTCTTGCAAGTGCTATTCTAAAAATATATCGGATGCTACTCGGGTTGGTACCTGAATGATTTGAGCTTGGTTATAATTTTCACCCTATCGCTTGCTTCCAAAGAAATCTTTTGTTGCTCTCCCTGCAAGTTTATGACAGAATTGCTACTTTTTATCTTGCGTGAAACGGTGGCGGGATCAGATGACCATGCAAAGTGACCACATCATACAACTACGAATTGATTTATCAGGCCAAAAACAATCTGTGTTCTTTTTTAGATTATGTACGAAGATCTCTCTGCCTGAAAGACACTAGACTCTGGAGAGGTCGCCTTTGAAACATGATAATGGATTTTTCTTTCTTTTCCTTATGGATTTACTGACAAACCCTAGCTAGCTTCGTGCAGTATTCTTCACGTACTTCTTATTAACATCACATTAAGTATTTCTTCTCTCTACCCGTCTTCTTCCAGATTCTTCCAGATTACTGCTCCAGTTTTTTTTTTTTCTTACCAAAAAAAAAAAACTTTTGACTTCCTTAGGAGCCACATAAATGACAACGATATAAATCATGATGAGGCGTTTTTCCCATCGTGACATCATTCGTTTGCATGAGATATGGAGAGATTGTTCTGTTGGTCACACCTTGACCACAATCTCCCATTATCATCCAAAGCATCCACGACTGCACTTCTACTCATTCATTATAGTATTATAATGGAAACTTTAATCCTCCAAATCTCTCTATCTCTCTCTGTGTTGTCACTGAGAATATAGGCCTGCTGACAGATATTGAATGTTTCCATGTAACGCTTCGGCAGATTTGTTTGTGTATAAATCCATCACTTTTCAACTCAAACAATACGGAATAGTGGCAGTAATTCACCAGTTAGGATAACTATATCTCTAGTTTCCAAGCATTTTTCACATATGTAGATACCATTCGCTGAACTTTGTCTGATTGAATCAATTGGGTACTTTGAATTTTCAGAACTGTTTGGTTTGATCATTTCTATATAGTGGTATTAGATGTTGCGCTTTTTTTTCTTTTTTATGATGTGGTGTGAACTCAACCGTTAAAAAATTAATGTCATAACGCGGATCGTTAGCTTTATTAAAAATAGATGCTCCCGTAAAACGTTCTTTTATTTCCACATCAGCTGCTGTTGTTAATCTAAACAATATAGAGACCATGTCGAACAATGTTAAAAAATAAGACTTACTCGATTCGAACTAAAAGGAAGTTCATGACAACATGAATTTAGCTTAAAATTCGAGGACAATCGTGGTGCCATTAACCTAGCGTAAAACTAAACTAGGATACAATAATCTCCATTTTATTAGAAGAGAGAAACAACAAACATTGATCAAATGCTTACAATGTAAAATTTAGGTGACCCGAACAATTTGTCGGTCAATCTATTTTGCTACTACTTCTCTTTATTAATTTTTGTCAGATCAGAATTCCTTCCATTCATCTTCCAAATCAAGAAACAAAGCCAGCTTCTTTAGCTCCACATGTAGCGACGGTTGCTGATCACACACCACCTCAGTTTCAACCCTGACTACTTGATCATCAGAACCGGTATCAGAAGGAGATGAAGCCATGAGATCATTCTTGTCAAGCCCACCAAATATGTCATAATTATAATCTTCATGCACTGTTCTATTACCAGGAAATGACTCTGAATTCGAGTCCGGAACACCCATTATGAAATCTTTATCGTTGTCGGCGTTCATCAAAAAGCTCAGGTGATTCTCATCGCCATCATCTCCGACCAGAAGTGAAGAGAACAAGCCTTGACTGTCGATGCTGCAGCTGTTATTCATCCAGCCTATGCTTTTGTCCACCAAACAGTGCTTTTCTTCTTGGGGTAGAATAGGAATTCCGCACATGCCGGCCACTGATGGCTGGTCTGCACTAACTTGATCAAAATGATTCATCGACCCATGATTTCGGCAGTGCAAAGTTTCCTCTTCGTGGTTCGATGTTCTCGTACAAGGCTGGGGCGAGAAAGATCCGCACTTCTTGGCGAGGGTGGTTTTCCAGTAATTCTTTATTTCATTGTCCGTTCGTCCTGGAAGCCTCCCCGCGATCAAGGCCCACCTGCGTGTGCATGAAAAATTACTTAAGAACAAAATAATCACGACTTAATCCTCTGACTATATCTGTAATGCATGAAGAGTTTAGAAGACAGTTAGTTGAGACATCTTGACAGTGACTGGGGCAATAATGAATAAGGGGGAAAAGTTTTCCCCCGGCCACAAAGCGGTTAATTCAAGTGGACCCCATGAATGGAGCATGCACGAAATCGTGAAAGCAACTCCTAGACACGTATCTTACAGCTCTTTGAGCGAGAAGGACAATCGATAGGGACATTTAGAGCCACTGAGCGCTGCTAAACAGCGGAGCACTATACTATGCGAACTTCATAGAGTAAGCCAATGCAGCATTGCACAGAGCAGTTCAATCCGGATCTCTATGCTTGGATGAACAGCTCAGTTTGTTCGCAAGAACCTCCGGATGAGAGCCCATTGCACTGCATCTCAAACCATATTCTCCACATAAAGAACATCAGTTTGTCTCTCGATGTTATGATTCATTGTGTCCACCAAATCAAATAATTACAGCGGAGTGAGTCTACTTTAGAATATGCGAGGTTTACAGACCGGTTGCCGAGAAGGCGGTGGAGCCGGATGATGAGATCTTCTTCATCCTCGGTGATGTCACCTCGTTTGATGCCGGGTCTCAAGTAGTTCAACCATCTAAGCCTACAACTCTTGGCACATCTCTTCAGACCTTCCAAGCAATATCCCAAAATTCAAAATCTTTAAAAGATTACGAAATAAATAAACTTTCTCAAATAAACTTATCTATTGAAGGAAGAAAGAAACCCGCAAAAACAAAAAGGACAAACATTGATACAAATTGGAATTCCTACCAACTAAGCACTCTCAAAACAAACGCTTCATTCCATCAATTTGAAGAAGAGAAAGTATTTTTTTTTTTGGTCGAAAAAGAAGAGAAAGTATAAAAAGGGAAAAATTAAATAAAAAGGATATAGTACCAGCATTCTGAGCAACACTTCTCCACTTGCCTTCACCATGAATCTTGACATAGCTGATGAGGGTTTCATCTTCTTCAGCAGACCAAGCTCCTTTTTTCATCCCTTGCTTTTCACAACATGGTCTCCTCACCATTTTTCCTCTCTCTCTCTCTCTCTCTCTCTCTCTCTCTCTCTCTCTCTCTCTCCTCAAAACTTTGTCCCTCAAAAGTTTACAAGACTAGTGTAGAAACTTAAGCTCCTTTTTTCATCCCATGCTTTTCACAACATGCATGGTCTCCTCCACTCACCATTTTTCCTCTCTCTACCAAAACTTTGTCCCTCAAAAGTTTACAAGACTAAGTGTAGAAACTTTTTGGTGGATACGTCGCTTCTTAATAGTGGGCATTTTAGAAGCTGGGCTTGATTGTATTCAGATGCATTAAATGGCCATGGACAGGCCAGGCATATGGCAAATAACATGTGGAGAGAGAGAGAGAGAGAGATGTTGTTTAATTTCGTGGGGTCTCATACGGAGAGGACGGTGAGTAGCAGGACCATACAACCAAAGTTTATGTTTGACTTAAACCGTTCAGTGACTACAAATGGTGCGCATACTTAGAATGCGTCCAAGTGAAATATGAACCCTCACCCACGAAAAGAAAATTTGAAAAGAGAGAACACTCGGATTGACTCGTACTAGTCTTTTTTCAATGTATTTTTCTTCAGCTCGTAACAGAGAATAAGTATGGATGGAATAACTTGTCATTATATCTTGTAGCTACAGCCCCAGTTCATCGCAATCCACCGATATTGACTACTCATCACGGTTGATGAATGTGAAGATGAGCGCGTTTCACGCGAAGATCAAATAACGTTTTTACCTTCGTTTTCTTTCAACTTTGTACGACCAACACGCAACAAGTACGGGTTCGTTCAAAAAAACTCGTTGTTACATGACAATTAGAGTCGGAGGGAATCACATACAGTGACGTAGAAAAGCAAGATTTGTGCAAATTCATCTTCCTCCAAATTTCGAGTGCGAAGCCGAGTTAAGCTGAATCCAAGGGCTTGCAAAGACCCCTCTTGATTTTTTCTCATTAGACGTGTATTTGTCCCGTGAAAAATTCTCTGAGAACGATCTTGACTGGACGGGGACATTCTATCAGAAAGCTTGACAGGAAGGAGACAGAAGAGGCATTCGGATGTTTGCTGCAAGTTTTGGTTCTTGATGGAGGCTAGGGGCTTGGTCCAAACGCCAAAACGAGAGGGGAATCAAAGAAAGAACTGCATCCAACGATAACTGCCAGAAAGGGGATGGACCGGTGGTCCAGAGGTCGACGTAAGATTTATGCATGTGGCCAATTTACTGGATTGGACCACTCATTTTTGCAACCAATATTCTGGTATAGAACATGCCTTATCCATGCAAACATGTTCATACTTTCTGTCCTCCAATCGGGAGTCCTCTTCACTAGCTATCCATTTTAGGTCAGATTCTCTGTACATGTTGCCAGAATGAAGCCTTTCCAGGAGCGCGTTTGGCCTCGCGTTAACACGCAGCTAAAACTGCATTTTATAAGCCCACGAGCTTGGTCCCAAAGGCAAGATGCCCTCTTGTACATTTATATCCACATGCTCCATAAAATCTTTGGGTAGCTAAATATCCCATGTGAGAAGCATGTGCAAAAAGTAGAGCAGAATAATAAGCTTCCCTAATCCTACCATCGCTTCCTATCTCGGCTATCACATCATCAACAACCGATGCGACCCATCTGTTAAATCGCCAAGCTTGAAGCAGCTGTCTTAACTTGTTAAGCCATAACCAGAGAAACCTGCATACCACCATGCAACATAGGGATATAAATGGGGGACCGTCGCCGCAATTTGTTCATTATGAACAAAGCTCAATCGTCCAAAACCTACAACTCTGAAGTTCAAACAGGAAATAAACATGCTCCGGCTGAGAGACCACTTCGCTTATGGACTGATCTAAGTGTTGTGGCAGAGGCATGGTCAAACTCGAAACTGTATAACTGATGATCAACTAAGAACATGCAACGAACAAAGGGTAAGGATGGATATGTACTTGCTATGCTAACATCGACATAAATCTTAACAAATACATAACACTCTTGAAAGCCATCATCCAGATAGACAGCTCAGCAAAGTTAAGGTCTCTCTGCGAGAGATGGAGCACATTAGTAACATAGCTACAACGCTATACACATGAGAGATATACAAAAGTTTAAAAAGTGAGAAGGATATAAGAAGGTAAACACTCGCAAGGTTGTGCGAAGTCCACCGATGAATCTCGTTCCTATTCTCTTTAGCAGAGGAAGCTACAGATACAACGGAGTATGACATCATTATAATAGTGACGCGCTCATTGGATTAGCAAAGAAATGCTCACGGCAGATGAACTTTGATTTTCTGAAATGGCTACCAAGAAGAGACGTCATTACACAATGAGGCTCAGAGCCCAGAGTTTGATGCATCTTCCTGACATTGAGGTGTTTATCCAGAACCATCAGCTCTAACAATTTTCTACAGCTCTGCAGAAAGGTTTCAAAGAATTACTTTTGAACAAACAATAATAATAATTGCTACAAAGACAATGTCAGTTGCAAATCTTAACATGGCAATAGGTGCACCAGATGTTTCTTAAATCGGACAGGTGCCTTTCGAAGGACAAAAGCTACAGAGAAAATCTCTCCAGTTAAGAAATGAAACATGCATTTGATCACCCACCTTCAACTGGTATCACATCAACAATTTTGACACTAGTTAACCCAAGTACAGTCCACAAAAGAGTCTGCTAAGGGGATGCACTTACAGTCTATCCAGATGACAACATTAGCATAGAATAATAGCTGAACCTTCATTTACAAGTAAAGGTCAACCATAGTCTCACAGACCATTAACCACATAAAATTGCATCCATGCATGCAATAACCCACAAATGCTGAAGCATTAATTCTTAATTACATGGTTCGCAAATTTATCATATGAGCATCTCATTCCATCAAAAACTGACAGACTAGTTGAAATGGTAATCTCTTTTTTACCAACTCCTACTTAAACTTTAGAAATTTTTCTCAAAATTTGGAGGGGGCCAATTATCATTCAAACTCCATACAATATATTCTTTTTGTATACAGGTTAATCAGACAGAAAAGGTACCTCCACATTTATTGTGGGCTAATTTGAATATTTATCAGTGCATACCTGAGGGTTTAGAACATCCAATCGGCCAATTATCTCATCCTGCAGATTGGAGAAGACAAAACTTAGAACCAAGAATCTCAACAACAAACTTCAAAAAAAGATCCCCTTACAAGCTGCCAACTAAACTTCAAGTCAAAGACAAACATCTCAAAAGAACTACAAGGGTAAAAAAATGATGTAGCAAACTAGTTAAGTCAATGAATTCGCTCTCGACAGCAAATAGACTTATATGGCAACGGCTAACATTTATAGCATCACTAAAAATGTGCTGCTGTTACAATAGATGGAAGGAGTCGACGCAATAAAAATGGCAGACTGAAGTAAAAAGAAGCACAATAACTAAGGCAAGGATTTGGTAAAAGAGAAAAAGAACTTCAAGAAAGCTTGTACCTCCAATATCCCAGGATTTAACATAACAATACCAAGGACACGGCGTAAGAGAGCCCTGTATACAAGCCTGTTGACAGTTCCGTCTCCATTAATCCAAGGCAAAATGGGCATACATAACCTGCTAGATGAAAAGTTGGAACATTCAATCTCAAGAGTGCCTCTTGGCAGATTGACTTCTCCCTCCATAGGCCCTTCAAGTGAATTACTATTTTGAACTTCAGCTGCAGATACGTCAATTTCTTCGGGAAGATTAAGAATGGTAACTTTATGCATTTGATCAACATTCGTGATTGTTTCTCTCTTGGAATTATCACCACCCAGATCATCTTTCTTGGGATGACAAATCAGGTGATCTTCGCCGATCCTCATCAATGACTCCATTGACGATAGTTCTTTTAGGTCTCGACCAGAACCAGCAATTGACGTCAAGAAATATTTGGAACGATACAGAGAGTCAACAACACGAACAGAGTCAAAAGAATTGACCTGTTCAAAAGCATTAGAGTATCAGAAGTGCATAGTTTGCGATACACTTCAAAAATTGTGACAGGGTGAACACCAGCTTCAATTTCTTAGGCTGCAGCATTTATTTCTAATTTAAGATTAGTCTCCTAGAGTAATATCCGTAAACTAAAAGCATTTATTGCGTAAAAAAATTTGCAACTAACTCTTTACAAGCCAATAAGATCCGACGTGATTGTTCACTTATGAAACGAATATCCATGTGCAGCCAAAATGTAACTCAGCAGATCAGTTCTCTGGTCCACTTTGCTACCATTGTCAGGCAAATATTATCAGACAAGACATTAGAAGGAGATGCCAAGGAAGAGATACACAAAGGAAAGACCACCAATTCCGGCCACATTGTTGCTGAAACTCTTGAAAGGGAATGCAGAGTCCCAGATTTGCTTTGAAACAGTAAAACGAACCTTTAATGCCAAACCAAACAACTGCAGCACTTCAATAAGAAGTTCCGGCGTATTTAGCCCTGAGGAACAGAAAATGAAGTAAAACAATAGGAGATTACAGACATATTTCACCAAATAGTGTTTTAAGGATAATTATCTAGACGAGAACAAGAAAACCAACATACCAGGCATATCTACAACATCTGAAATTTCTCGCATGCTCAGTCCTTGATCACCAGCTCTTTGAATTGCACTATACATAACTCTGAAGACATTAGGATTAATGACACTTCCCTGTTTGAGAGCAGTATGGGAAAAATAAACTTCATTTGCATATCTTGTCATAGAATCCCAGATTGTTCCATTACCAAGCCCTGAAATGTTGGTAGTGTTGGCAGAAGTGACTATTTCCTCCACACAAGCAGAACTAGATGGATTGCTCTCTGTCTGAAGCAACATAGAGCATCTAGTGTCATTATTTTGGATACTCAGATGCCCAGCACGAAGTTCTGCATCCTTGAACAGCTCCAGAGAGCTAGCCTTTAAAATTGTAGCACGTTGTACAGACACCATAATACCAGGAAATCCTTTTTCCCTGCGGGAAACAACCTCACTTTCTGATGTAGACTTCAGTTTCTTATATTTACTTCCACCATAAGATTCATTATCATCAGCTCTACGTTTCAAATTTCTCGACTCTTCAGCTTCTCCAACACCTTCCTCTGGCAAAGAGGGAGAGAGAGAAAATTCACCAGAAGATACTAAAGCAAACAAGTAGATGGTATCCCCACATTGCAAATCATCTGTAGGAACAATCTTTTCATTATCAAGATCATTTTCCCTTTCATGAAGCCACTTTGAAAATTTAGCAACTCTCTTTCCAGTGTTGGCAGGAAACATAGACTTCGAAATGT